ACTTCCCAAGAGGTTGAGAAGGCTTATACATTATTTTAAAACGTAATATGTGTTATTGCTCTCAAAGAAGTGGACCTTTGAAGTCATCCCAAACAGAGCCTAAGCAATCCTTTAAAACACCGTGTCCTGATCTGGCAACCTACTGCTGCTCCCATTTTCCCCAGCTGGCACGCTAGGCTTGAGTGATAGGATCTATTGTCTACTAGCTAAAGATGACAGATCAAACCAACAACAACAACGTGAATCTGTTGGGATCCCTTCCTCAACCCACTAATCCTTCTTGCTTTGCATGACTTTCGGCAGCTGCCACCAGCCCACATCATTGAAAAGCTGCTGGTGCTGATTTTTCATTCTTTCAGTTCAATGCTAATTTTAGTGTTCTGTGCAGCTCTTTCCAATATACATTCATTCAAAATTGAGTCAACTGGCTGATCAAGCTTCTGTGTGATTTCTGGAAAACTATTTAATATTTTTCAGTGTATCTGCCTGCCATCACTGCTTCATTTCCATGTAAGGCCAACGCTGTAGTGCCTAGACCAGGGGGTGGCAACCCTTAGGTACTCCACATGTTTTGGACAATAACTCCTAGAATTCTTGGACTGTTTCGCCAATGATAAAGAATTATGGATGTTGTAGTCCAACACATCTGGAGTGCCAGTGGTTCACCACCTGTGTGGTAGGTTATGTACGAAAAATAGGAATGACTGGACTTCAGTGGAACCAAGCTTTGGACAATCTATGGAAGCCTAAGTTTTTATGTTGGGGGGGGGAGTGTAAAAGACATTTCTGGTTTTATCGAGTAATCTCTGCAGAGTAGCCTCAACAACTAAGATAAACGAGGCAACACTGAAAAATCCCAAATTCTAGATGTATCTATAGTTTGAAGTTCAGACTTGGAATAAAACCCTTCCTTAAACATTTGGTGGAAATTCACAAAGCCTATTCAGTATCATGCATTGGAAGCAAAGATAGTGAAAGCTACAAAAAATATTTCACTATGGTTCTGTGAATGAGCTGGCTGGATAGCCCCTTTATGTCAGTCAAACTAGTAAGAGTACTTACGTACTGTAGGTCCATGCTCATTTGTGGCAACCCTTTCCAGGGTTTACTAGGGAGAGAATACACAGAAGTGGTTTACCCTTCATTTCCTCTAGGGGGAGCCCTGGGACTGTGCAGCTTGCCCAAGGCTACACAGGCTGGCTCTACTCACAGTGGGGAATAGAACTCAGCAATGCCGCCTCCATACTCAGATACCCAGTTTACTCAGCTATACTGTACAGACAATTTTTAAAAACTCCAACTCCCAAAATTCAAGTGGCCACGCTGGCCAAGGATTGTGGGAAACATAGTCTGAGCACATAACATTTCTGAACTCTGGAGGAAAGATAAACTGGAGGTGAAAGAGAGAGCAACTGGGAGAGAAAAAGGAAATCACAAGTGGTTACTGTTCAAGCAAAAATGAAGGCACCGTAGGTTTGCAGGTGCTCCCACCTTGCTTTGGAGGCAAGGTCAGCTGAAGTCATTTTGCTGTCTGAGGCATGTTGTGAATGTTCGCAATGTGGGAAAGGGGGGGGGAACAATTAAGACTTATCTCACTAGCAGAGTAAGCACTCCCTAGACATATGGACTGTTTGTTCTGCAATAAAGGAGGAGAAGCATTTAAGAACAGACAGTTCCACTTAATTAAGAAAGTCACATTCAAGATAGAAAAGCCTAAGAACTTAATCACACCTAGACAGACATCTGCCCTTGAAGGCACACAGAAAAGAAGTAGCATATTTCCTCCTTAGAAAGACAGGCAAGGAAGAGGTGAGAAACCTCTTTCAGATGTTTTGGAGTACAACGCGTATCAGACCCATCCACCATAAATGGCTCCAGAGGAATATAGTTCCCAGCCTCTGGAAAACCAAAAGCTCTCCACTGCTGATCTAATGGTAGGGCCGGCCCTACCATTTCTCTGCGAGTTCTGTAATGCCTACACATGCTTAATTGCTGAAAAGTCCTTAGAGCTGTGTGTTGCCTGATCACTCATAAAGGGACCCAATGATGCAGCAAAGGATGCTTCCAAAGTCAAGATCACTGGAGAAGAAAAGGGTGATTTTGCCCCCACTGAAGAATAAAAGGATACGGTAACAGAAAATCTGGCCAGTCCTGTTCAAAAGTATAGAACCCATGCAACCAGGAACCAAATTCTGTTTTACCAACTCAGCATAAGGGTGCCAAGGGCTCTGCATTGGAGGGTTTATACTATAAACTTTACAGCTTGCAAATTTAGAAGGCAGCTAGAGACAAAGGCTAGGTCAGGGTATGAATCCTCCAGTCGTGATTACAGCCTAAGTGAAATGACATTCATACAGATGAAAAACGGATTCTCCTGAAAAATAGTTGAACAGAAGGGTTCTGACACAGTAGTGTGTGTGTGTGTGAATTTATATGAATAACTCTGTTTAATTATGTAGGGCAGCATTGAGCTATGGGGCTTGTGCATGAGTGCAGGGAAAAATCTGTCTGATTGCTTGGACTCCTGGATAGCTGGACACCTGGACTGCTAGATAGCTCAGTGGTTTAGGTCTCTGGCTGTGGAGCCAGAGGTCAGGAGCTTAATTTCCTATCATACCTCCCAGACAGAGGTTGAACTCCATAACCTACAGGGTCCCTTCCAGTTCTGCAGTTCTAAGGTGATGATTATGATGGCGATGAGGATTAGATTGGAGGACACTCCAAGTTCTCAGGACCATTGTAAAACCTAGATTGTAGCCCCAAGGAATAGAAAATACGAGCTTGCCCCTACGTATGGCCAGCATCATTCACTGACTCAGCTCTCACTGCTGTTGAAACCCATGCCAGGCTGTGCCACATCCGACAGCACCTGCCAGCCGCTGCTTCTGATGAAACAGGATGCATTGAAAGAAACAGTTTACAGTCCATGATCAGGGATAATAGTCATGTGTTGTCTTCTTGGCATAAAGTACTCAGAGGTTGTTTACCTGTCGCTCTTGGTGGCACTCTGGGACAGTACAGGTTACCCAAAGCTTCGCAGGTGGCAAGGCACGCCACCCCACCAGCCACGCACATTCCAGGAGATTTCGGTGGGCCTCTCTCCCTGGAGGCACAGTAGAGATGCAGATTGGTGGCCCATGGGCAGGTATCTCAACCCACCAAGCTATATCAGGTCTCACAAGCCTTACAGGTAAAACCTGTTAGACTTTTAAGGGATCACCTTGGTTTTGTGGCTGAAGACCAACATGACCCCCCCTCTGAAAAAGCCTAGACTGCCTGAAGGAGTCTGACATTTTTTCCTCTAACAGCCTAAGCCAGTATACCGTGGTGGCCATTATTATTAACTCTTCTGTGGTTATATCTGTGTAGATTCTGTCAAGAGTCATCCAGGTGACATTACCTGGAAGTTGAGTCATGGCAACATGGCAAGTATCCAGAAAGACGTCCAGTTGCCATGACTCAACGTCCAGATGTTCCTTGGTTACTTACATGCATATTCATTGCTATGGTTATGGGTTAGCTTAAATTTCGAAACAGGATCCAGCAGCCGGCTCTCACCCGCATGCATGTGGTCTGCAAAAATCATTTTAAAAAAATCATGTTTCTTGTCCTTATGACAGTAAAGATAACTTTGAAACATTATGGGGGCAAAGTCCCTGAAGGCAGAGAGGTGGCTGGATAAGCCTGTCAGTGATCTGGGAGGGGGCACCTGTCTGGCAAAAGGAAGCCTACTCTTACAATGAAGCTTCCCTCCACTCGGAAGGCTTAGGGAAGCTGGTGGTGCCCCCAAACGAACGCTTTGGACTGTGTTATTTTGCTTCAATAGAGTAAAAGGCTTGTTTCCCAGCCTTCATTCTGCTCCCACAAATTCTGGCCAATTTTTAAGGGAGCTTTTTATTCTGCGTTTTACTTGCGTTTTTAATATTGCTCTTCCTATGAGTTTCCATATGATAGCTGTTTAAGGCTTTTTAAACCTTGAAATAAATTTATTGTTTGACTATTCACTTTGTTTCTTTGCAATCCTGTAAACCACTCTGGTTCCCTTGGGAGAAAGGTAGCGTACAAACATTTTAATTAGTTAGTTAGTTAGTTAGTTAGTTAGTTAGTTAGTTAGTAAATAAATAAATAAATAAATAAATTAAATAAATAAATAAATAAATAAATAAATAAATGGCTCCCATCTCTGGAACTGATAGAGTAATCAGGCTTGCCTCCCTTAAATTAGCTGGCTGAGATTGACTACACATCTGTTTAATCAGCTGACAGCTCCCTTTGCAATGCAATGCGGTTCAGAAGCAAGTCCTGCTGAATTCAATCCTAAGAATATTTGCCCCGGTCTGCATTTCAGTGAGTTGTATGGAACTGCTTTTGGGACAGAGATCCACAGGATGGCATTGCGTGGCTGCAGCCCCTACACGCACAAATACATTTCGGTGGGAGGTAGGTCCTGTCCTCTTACTTCTGAGGAGGAAGGCATACATTACACCACCAGGAATGGGAAGCTGCCACCCTGTGGACGCAGTCGAACTACAAGCCCCATCAGCCAGCATAGCAAAGGGCAAGCGATCCTGAGAGTCGGGATACCTGGAGGAACACAGGTCCCCTTAAGCCCTTGCTGTAAAACGTTCCCAGAGGAGTGGAAGCGAAAGTCTGGTTTTGAAGCTGCAGGGGAAAGCTTTTCAGCCGGGCTGCGCGGCAGAAGGGGCTCAGCCGGCTCCTTTCCTGAGGGTTTGGATCTCCCTTGTTCCAATACATTTCGCTTGAAAACAAAAATACGGAGAAGCCTCCCTGGTGGGCTTTTCCTGATTAAGCTACAGGTCATCTTCTTTCAGTCCCCCACCTTTCTTTTAAAAAAAAGGGGGGGGGTTCCTAGGCCGAGATTTTACTCCTCGGGAGTTTTAGTTCAGTGGCAGCTGTTCAGAGCCCCGGGGTGCGATCCTGTGCCCTCCTCGCGCGTCGGTCCTCACGCTCTGCTTTCTCCCTCTCTCCCGCAGCTCGCCTGAGGCGCTTCCCGGAGCCCGGATCATGGCCGGCAGCCCTCTGCCGGGCCCTCCCGACCTCCTCCTGACCGCCCCGTCCAGCGCCTTCGCGGCGGAAGCCTTGAACCCAGCGCCTCCTCAGCCTCCTCCTCCTCCGCCGCCGCCGCCCGTCCAGCGGGGCTCCCCGTCTCACGCGCCCGCCACG